CTGAAAATAGCAACAATCTGGAGCTGCAGCAAGGCATTTTTATTATTAAGTTAAATAAAATAAAATGACTCTCACAGGTCAGTTATGCCTTAATTGCTGAACAATCCTGGGTATGGAGCTCAGTTTAAATTCACAAAGTACATCAGTGGGCCAAGAGGATTATAGAAGCAGGTGTTGAGATCCAAATATTTTGTAAATAGCTTTGTCTCCTTTTACTTTTAAATAGTTGCTACATCAATATAAATCATTTTGCAATGGAACAACATACTGACGGCAAAGTTTTCATAATCTCATACAAATCCTTACCCGTTGCCATAGCAGGTGATTTTCCTTTAACGTTTTAAGCACTTGCTAAAACCATGGTTGTTTAAGCAAGACTACACAGATATGTTTTGCTAACGTGTGTGTGTTAGGAGTTGTGAGAACCAGGGTTTGTGGATGCCAGATTTCCTTAAATTCCTGGATCCAGTAAATGTTAGAATTGAATCAATGCTTGCAATATTAAAGCAGCTGCCAGACACTGGATTTAGCAAAGCGTTAAAATACAGGTCTAAAAAATACAACAAAAGGCTCAATAATTGGTTTTTACTTTTTGAAATATGGCAACCCTAATTTCTCACCATTTTTTCCATCATCAAACACAAACCAGTTTTCATGGGGCTCCCAGACAGTGTCCCAAGCACTGAGCAGACGCAGACCTTCTTAGCTTCAACAAGGTGGTTGCATCATGTGAACTCATTCCAAAAATGATCTAGCATGCAGTTCCCATCTGGACATGTGTTTTGCTGCACAGATAATATATGCAAATAGACCTGAAGTAGTACAATCCAGGAATGATTTTGGCCATCCAAAACTACTCTTAGTACTTCCCCCCACACTCTGCTAAATTCTGAAGAACTAAGGAACTGAGCCAGAGAAAAATGTCATTCTCTCAGTAATGGCCATCCTTTTTTATGAGTCCGTAGACAACTGCAGAAACAAAGAAAGGAGCACATAGATTGCTAAAGTTAAACTGAAGGACACAGAATGCAAATTTCTCTGGGCCTCAGCAAACAGATGGTGACAATGGAAAGTCTGTGACTAAACATAAAAAAAAAGACACAAAGGAGGATAAAAGAAGAGAGGAACAAAGTTGTGACTTACTTTCTTTACTGCATCCAAGTTGTTGTGTTTTGTGCTTTTGACACCAATACAAGTTGAGGAACAGGATTTCACAAACTGAAAATAAAGATATTAGCTTTCCTCTGTCTTCCGTATTGCACACCAGTATTTTACAATCAAGCAAACAAATTTATTGTATAGTCACAGACCTGTGAAAACACTCATATTTAACACACATTTACTTGGAAGTAACTTTCACTTATTTCAGTGGAACTTCACTTCAACCATGTGTCTTGAAATGCAGCCTAAGGTGGATAATTAGGTTCTTAATGGCAGATTCACGGTAACTGAAGGTATTATAGACGTCAGCCTCTCTACATTAAATATCTTAAATTCAGAATGTATTTACTCAGCAGGCATTATACATAAAATACAATGACTTGTATCTCACCTTCCATTTCATGAATGGAGAACGGACTAGAATTCCTATTTATAGAATGGATTTCTTACCTGCCCTTCCCAATGTATCCTGAAAATCTGCTCCTGAGGGTTTGGGGAGCCTTGGAGATGGTATAGGATGGGGGGTGCAGGTGATGCTGTGGTCTAAACCACTGAGCCTCTTCGGCTTGCCTATTGGAAGGTTGGCAGTTTGAATCACACAGATTCCCATTACTCTGTTCCAGCGTCTGCCAAACTAGCAGTTCAAAAGCATACCAGTGCAAGTAGATAAATAGGTACCACTGTGGCGGGAAGGTAAACAGTGTTTCTGTGCTCTCTGGCACTCGTCACGGTCCTCCGTGCACCAGTAGCAGTTTAGTCATGCTGGCTACATAACCCAGAAAGCTGTCTGTGGACAAACACCGGTTCCCTCGGCCTGAAAAGCCAGATGAGTGCCACACCCCGTAGTTGCATTTAACTGGACTTAACCATCCAGGGTCCTTTACCTTTACATGTAGGTTGAGGGGGAACTGGTGAAAAAACCCACCATTGTACAGTGGTACCTCGGGTTTAGAACTTAATTCGTTCTGGAGGTCTGTTCTTAACCTGAAACTGTTCTTAACCTGAGGTACCACTTTAGCTAATGGGGTCTCCCGCTGCCACCACGCTGCCACTGCACGATTTCTGTTCTCATCCTGAAGCAAAGTTCTTAACCCGAGGTACTATTTCTGGGTTAGCGGAGTTTGTAACCTGAAGCATCTGTAACCTGAAGCATCTGTAACCCGAGGTACCACTGTATGGCCAGAAGAGCAACTCCGTGTCCAAGCCATCTACTTTAAGAAGAAGCTTACATTTCATTTCTCTTACAGATTTTCATATGAACAGCATTCATTTTTATAACTACAGAGATTTTATTAACAGCTGGTTTTGCAAATGCAATATGGGATTCAGACTGTTAAAAGAAGATGATATTATGTGTAATAAAACTGCATATATGTCTCCCACTTGTGTAATTGATAAGAACAGATTTCCATCACCACCATCTCCAAGTTGGTTGGCACAGGCTGCCTTTCAATTGAATGCGCAGGAGCTTAGCTAAGTTATTTCAGGGTCAGCCAAAGCTAATCCTCTTAGAATGGTGTTGCCCAGTTGGGTATGATCCACCAAGCAGTATATGTTTATATGCTTTTATGAGGGAGACAAGTGGTTGGCATACCTAAAGGAACTGTGGGGAACAGGCCAACGAAGAAAACCTCATTGGCGCCAGACAAACAACAGAACAGTGAGGGAAGGACAACAGCTACTAGACCCAGAAGTTTAACATCAAATGCAATGGGAGACAGAAACTTGGAGGAAATGTGGAGCATGAGTGAAGAAGCTTGAGGCTTTGGCTCACCACATTATACTCACCCCTTAAAATGGGCCTCTAGCAAAATTCTTTGCCGACCAGAGAGAACACCATGATCCAAACAAAGTTAAACACTTCTATGCCATTGATTTCCATGGGAGGGGGGATTGATCTCCCTCTGAAACCAGTGAGACTTAAAACTGGTTAACTTTGGCTCAGCTGTGCCATATAGCAAAATTTCTCCTAAGGTAAGAAACTAAAGCTAGTTCTGCCACACAACCTCATTTAATTGAAAAAGAGGGGAAATGCATGATCTCTGTTGAGGTCATTCTATTATTTTTGGCATTACTTTCAGGAAGAACAAGAAAAGGCAACATTTATACTGTGTTTCTATTTAAAACATTGTAACATGAGATGGGAATATGCATATGAGATCATCTAGTCCAAGTTTCAGAACACTTTGATGGAGCAGAGAGTGGAGAGAACAGCTCATGTCAGTCCTCCGTGTCCCTTCTGGCTGTATCCAAAAAGAAGCATTAATAGACTCTGAAGGGAGCCTCACCCAGACATTCTCAGCTTGAGGGAGGTTATCCTTGATGTGGGTATTCTGAGGATAAAGGAAGTCAAAAACCCCCCAAAAATTAAATCCATAAAGAGGGCAGGGAATGGCTTCAAGAGACATGGAAAATTCTTCTAATTTGATGGGAGAATTCCCACTTTCTTCCATGGAAAGAGAGAAAGTAAAATAGTGGTTTTAGGTTGCTGAAACATCTCATTGGTCCTATTCTGCCTCTTTATTTCTTTTTGTCTTCATTGTTCTGCCTCACAGCATACTAGGAGACAGAAACACTGGAAAAATTGGTAACTGGGTGAGTGAGAGACCAAAGTCAGACAAGGCGTGTAGACATGAATAGGTGCCAAAGAGTAAGGCTACTTGAAAGTAATTTAGATGCACTGCCAATGTAAATATAAAGGGTGGTGTGCTCTTTTGACTCTGTTGTCATATAAAATGGCAAAAACCCCAAACCCAAAAACATTTAAACTTTAATGAGAAGGACAAAAAGTCCTTTAAAGACCTTCAAGTTAAAAATAGCAAAGTTTTCAACCAAAGTGATATTTTGCTCCTCTTGCCTCTGTAATCTTTTGTTTCTGCTTTTTTTTTAAAAAAAAAAAAGAAAGCCACATTCTTTTCAACCGCTAGAAGCAGGACAAATCACATGGGAAAGAAAACCAAGATTGAGTGACTTTTCTAAGACTTAACGGAAAACACAGCAGCAGCTTTAAGGCAGAACCAGGCTTGGAAGAGGAGCACCCATGCTGTAGGGTTGGTGGGAGTTGTGTATGTGTTGGCAAATGGTTCAGAAACCATCTGCTTTTTTTGAAAGGCAAAAAACTCTGTTCGCTGCAGCCCTTCTCCTCCTCCTTTCCTTCTTTGTTGCAAGTGTTTGCCAAGATTCCATTATAAAAGCACAGTCTCAAGCATCTGGAGCCCGACATTTATAGTAAACAAAATATGCTGCTCACTTTGGAACCACAGAGCAGGGCAAGGAAGTGATTGTGCACCATATGAAAAGAAGAAGAAAGGTAAACTGTTCTGGAGAGGAAGGCTCTCCCCCACCCCCACATCCCCACTGTAAACTATTTTGATATACACATCTACAAACAATTAAGAAAGCCATCTCTGAGACCAGGGCTCCGATCTGGCCTTGTGAAATGTGACAATGTGAAGGGGTCAAATACTTACGTTATAGAGGTTCTGATATTTTTCACTGCAGTGGTTTGCCATTCAGACACAGGCTCTGGAAAAGAGCACTTGAAAAATGAACCACCTCCACTGTTCTAACACAAAGCAAAACATTCTTTGGTGAAATCCCCTGCCCACCTTCACCTACTAAGGGCTGTAGCTCAGTGGCAGAGCATCTGCTTTGCATGCAGAAGGTTGCTGGTCCCTGGCATCTCCTCCTATGGCTAAGAGAGATCCTCGTCTGAAATCCTGCAGAGCAGTTGTCAGCCAGTGTAGACAATGCTGAACTAGAGGGCCCAATGGTCCTACTCAGCGTAAGACAGCTTCCTGTGTTCTTCATTTTCACACATCTTGCAGAACTACTTGCATGCCTTGGTAGCTCAGTCAGTAGAGCAGGAGACTTTTAATCTCAGGATTATGGGTTCAAAGCTCCATGTTGGGCAAAAGATCCCTGTATTTCAGGGGATAGGACTAAATGACCCTTGTGGTCCCTTCCAACTCTGCAATTGTATGATTCCATTATTCATTATTTTTCTTAAACAAAATAAATCTGCATTATGCATATAGATTTATTGTTCTAATTTTTGTTTCTCCTGTTTAAAGACACTTGACACCATATTCCACCATGCAACGCAGGCATAAGTGGCCGCAGGGTAAGAGAAGATTAGATAAAGAATCCTTATCTGAGTAAGTGGTGTTTGGCTACATGAGCTGTTTAACAAGCTGCTGAATTTGTAGAAAGGGTATTGCAGAACAGCTAATAAACTACCAACAGCAATGAATGGCCCAAGCTAAAAACCACTGGGATAGCTTAATGGGTAGAGCATGAGACTCTCAGAGTCATGGGTTCGAGCCCCATGTTGGGCAAAAGATTCCTGCATTGCAGGGGGTTGGACTAGATGACCCTCATGCTTCCTTCCAATGCTACAATTCTATGCTTTTTTCATTCCATTGTGGTGGCAGAAGCTCCCAGGATAGAAACTGGAAGCAAGCTTATGTTTCTGTGTGTGGCTGCCCCATGTGGTGAGTTCTGAGAACTACAGCTTGGAGTGCTTTGTGGCTGTGAAGTTATCCTCAGGTTCTAGATTTGGCCTGCCCACCCCAAATGAAAGAAAGGAAACTCAGAAATGCATCTTGTCCAGCTCAAAAGGTACATGTGACAAACCCTGCATACTCCTTATGAAAATTTAACCATTATTTTTTTTACTCCCCTTTGATAACTTTCAAGTGTAAATTTCCTTTCTTGTGAATTGATAGAGATTGGATGTGGGTGAAGGGTGGGGGAAGCTTTTTTGGGGACAGCACCAATTCAAAACATTTAATGATACTGGAAGCTCCGTTTCACCTTTGTTGTTGTTGTTGCTGTTTAGTCGTGTCTGACTCTTCAAGACCCCATGGACCAGAGTACACCAGGCACTCCTTTCTTCCACTGCCTCCTGCAGTTTGGTCAAACTCATGTTAGTAGCTTCGAAAACACTGTCCAACCATCTTGTCCTCTGCTGTCCCCTTCTCCTTGTGCCCTCAATCCTTCCCAACATCAGGGTCTTTTCCTCTTCTCTTCTCATGAGGTGGCCAAAGTATTGGAGCCTCAGCTTCAAGATCTGTCCTTCCAGTGAACACTCAGGGCTGATTTCCTTAAGAATGGATAGGTTTGATCTTCTTGCAGTCCATGGGACTCTCAAGAGTCTCAATTCAAAAGCATCAATTCTTTGGCGATCAGCCTTCTTTATGTTCCAGCTCTCACTTCCATACATCACTACTGGGAAAACCATAGCTTTAACTATACGGACCTCTGTCGGCAAGGTGATGCCTCTGCTTTTTAAGATGCTGTCTAGGTTTGTCATCGCTTTTATAATAATAATAATAATAATAATAATAATAATAATAATAATTTATTATTTGTATCCCGCCACCTGGCTGGCTTTCCCCAGCCACTCTGGGCGGCCTCCAACAAAGATTAAAAATACATTAAAATGTCACACATTAAAAATGTCCCTAAAGAGGGCTGCCTTCAGATGTCTTCTAAATGTCAGGTAGTTATTTATCTCTTTGACATCTGATGGGAAGGCATTCCACAGGGCGGGCGCCACTACCGAGAAGGCCCTCTGCCTGGTTCCCTGTAGCTTTACTTCTCGCAGTCAGGGAACCGCCAGAAGACCTTCAGCGCTGGACCTTAGTGTCCCAAGAAGCAGGTGTCTTTTAATTTCGTGACTGCTGTCACCATCCGCAGTGAACATGGAGCCCAAGAAAGTAAAATCTCTCACGGCCTCCATTTCTTCCCCTTCTATTTGTCAAGAGGTGATGGGACCAGTGGCAATGATCTTAGGTTTTTTTTGATGTTGAGCTTCAGACCATATTTTGCACTCTCCTCTTTCACTACGCTAACACTGCAAGCAGGGAATATTCTTACACGAACCACCAGGAATGGTACTAAATGGCAAATATTTTGAGAGTTAACAAAACAAACAAACACAGAAACAGCCAGAAGGTTGTCAGTCTGGATGTAATTAAGGTCAGGTCATAAATGTCAGGCCTGGAATTCAAAAGCCAAGGATAGTAACGAAACAGTTGGAGGTGGGGCAGCAGTAGGATGGGAAAGTCACAGTGAGAAGGTAAGTACAGGTAACAGAATGAAACTATAGATATGGCTATATAAAGTTCCCAGGGAAGTATATAAAAACTACAGCAAAATGCAACATATACACACACGTGGAATGCTCTCCCCATTGAGGCTTGTCTGACACCATCTTTATCCTTAATTTGGATGGCTTTTAAGTGTTCATTTTAAGTATTCATATCACTAACATGCCTCAAAGTTATTCTCCAGAGTTGTGTGGGCAGAATTTGCTTGAGTAAGCAAATGGTTTGTATCAATTGTAGGGAAACATAGATCCTGCTGAATAAAGGATAAATGTACCGTTCAAGGTATCAGGGGGATATGAAGCCAGGTTTCTCAGCAGATTGATCTCTGTGCTTCAAGAGTGTCCCTTAGGCTGCAGTACCAGCAGGTTTGAGTATACTCAGGCTGCGTATACACTTTACATCGAAAGCATGTGACTCACCCCATAGAATCCTGGGAACTGTAGTTTGTTAAAGGAGCTGGGAATTATAGCTCAGTGAGGGAGCAAACCAAAGTTCCAGGATTCTGTAGGGGGTGCCACATTCTTTAAATGTATGCACGCAGCCTCAGTCAGCTGACCCCAGAGATCAATCCCTGACTTCCAAGTCCCATAACTCTCTGGCCTTAAAGTTTGCTGAGCAACTTATCTCTGGTGTAAGAATTGTGCCTAAACTCTTGTTTCTGCTCCTGTTTTCGATAGCTGACTTGGAATGCAACCACCGCCTTGCTGCTTGTTTGCCACTCTGCGATATTACCTTTGCCAGATTTGGCTCGCCCACCTCCTTTCGGCCCACTTGAACAACTGTCCCCAAATTTGTGTGCCTGTCCTTGACAGCCCAGAAGGACACACCAGATGGGCAATAACACATCAGTCTTATCAATTCTGACTGCTGTGTCTATGTGCCGATCTGGTGTGTCCTTGCGATTTGACTTTCTTCTTGCTATATTTATGTGTCTGTCCATACACGGTTCTGTAATTAATTTTATTACATTTTATCCTACCCTTCATCCAAGGAGGTCAGGACAGTACACATGATCTTTCCTTTCAGAACAACCCTGTCACAGGTGAGGCTGAAAGAGATAGACAGAGACTGATTGGCATAGAGAACCTGCCAGTTTCACAGCAGGCTACAAGTTTCAACTTGGGTCTCTCCAGTCAAAGTTCAAAACTTGCCATTACATCATACTGGCAATGCAACATTTGTAGAAGGAATGGTCAGAACCAGTGGCGTAGTGTGGGGGGTGCAGGGGGGGCCGGCCGCACCGGGCGCAACATCTGGGGGTTAGGGGGCGCAAATCCACGGGTTAGGGGGCGCAAATCCATGGGTTAGGGGGCGCAAATTACTTGCCTTGCCCCGGGTCCTGACAACCCACGCTACGCCCCTGGTCAGAACAATAGTGTTTCGTCAACATATATCAGTGCCTGCTGCAATTACTTTTTCAGTGAAAATGTCCCAGGTCCAGTGCACATGTAAGTAATTTAATCACAGCAGTGGATTACTTTAAACAACTGGCTTTGTCCTGCTCTTGATCTAGCTCCTGTATGGCACAACACTCGGCACTGGCATCTACATTAGCAGAAGATAACATGTGGAGGCCCATGAAACACTTTCCTTTGGAAGCAACAGAGCAGAGGTGAGTAACTTTAGGCCCAGGGGCCACATGTGGTTCTTCAGACATTTTTGTCTGGCCCTTGGGGTTCTGCCTAGGGTAGGCCACATTCTCCTAGACCACATAACATCGGGACTCCTCTGTGCCCTCCCCTGGAGATCTGACTTAACTGAAATAATCTGTCCTTGAACTGTGTTGATATATCTTGATGGCTTGAGTAGAGAGTGGTAAATCCCTGGCCACACCCTCTTTTGCCACATACGTCACAAGTGTGCAGGCCCCATGAAGAAATGTGGTCCCAGGATTTTTTAAAAAAAGGATTCCCAGCCAGCAAGAGAGCTTACCCATGGGCAAGCATGCTTAAACTAGGTTCCCAAGCACACTTGACTAATGCACTACAGAAATATGTATTATGGCTTTAAAATATGTATACAGTTGTACCTTGGATCCCAAACGCCTTGCAAGTTGAACGTTTTGGCTCCCAGACGCCGCAAACCCAGAAGTGAGTGTTCCGGTTTGTGAACATTCTTTGGAAGCCGAACGTCTGACAAGGTTTCCGTGGCTTCCGATTGGCTGCAGGAGCTTCCTGCAGCCAATCAGAAGCCATGCTTAGATTTCCAAACGTTTTGGAAGTTCCAGAATGGATTCCGTTCGACTTCCAAGGTATGACTGTATAAGAATGTGTAGGAAGGAGGAGGAGGAGGAGAATAAAAATAAAATTTCAAACACAACATCAAGTTAAAACTAATAAACAACAACAACAACAAATAATAATGTGTACAGAGGCGGTTTTAGGGTAAACCAGTGCCTATTTCTCTTCTAAAAACCCCACTGATTGGAGCTCATGTAACAGCAAATACATTTGTTGAATGGAGTGTAAAATTTCTGTTCCAGATCAAGGTTATGGCTGGAAGTATTGTTCTGCTGTCATGAGTTGACTGAGGATAAGAGCTATACAATAGTTTAATACTGACATATTCCACATAAAGGTTTTGTGCAGAACTGTTAAGTGGCTCAAAACTAAGGGAAGGGTGCAAGTGGTAAGGAAGGATGGGAGAAATTCTAAAGAAATTTAATGACTGTGGAGGAGGAGACAGTTATGTCTGAGCAGCTCTATGATTGCAACTTAAGGGAAGAGAAATGTTTCATTTTCGGTCTTAGGATGCTGCTATAGTGAAATCAGCCTGAGCTGTCTTCTATGTTATCACTTCT